AGCGGCGGGTGGGCGAGCGCGCGCTGTCGAGCTACGTATCGGTGCACGCGGAGAGCGGCAAGGTGTACGCGCTGCAATCACTGGACCACGAGGAGCTGGAGCTGCTGCAGTTCCAGGTGAGCGCGCGCGACGCGGGCGTGCCACCTCTGGGCAGCAACGTGACGCTGCAGGTGTTCGTGCTGGACGAGAACGACAACGCGCCAGCACTGCTAGCGCCTCGGGCGGGTGGCATCGGTGGCTCAGTGAACGAGCTGGTGCCATGGTCGGTGGGTGCGGGCCACGTGGTGGCAAAGGTGCGCGCGGTGGATGCTGACTCAGGCTACAACGCGTGGCTTTCGTACGAGCTGCAGCTGGGGACTGGTGGCGCGCGCATCCCGTTCCGCGTGGGGCTGTACACGGGAGAGATCAGCACGACGCGTGTCCTAGACGAAGCGGACGCTCCGCGCCACCGCCTACTGGTACTGGTGAAGGACCACGGCAAGCCCGCACTGACGGCCACGGCCACCGTGCTGGTGTCATTTGTGGAGAGTGGACAGGCGCCAAAGGCCTCCTCACGGGCGTTGTCGGGCGCTGTGGGTCCCGAGGCTGCGCTGGTGGATGTCAACGTGTATCTGATAATTGCCATCTGCGCGGTGTCTAGCCTTTTGGTGCTCACGCTGCTGCTGCACACCGCGCTGCGGTGCTCGGCACCGCCCACCGAGGGCGCATGCGCTCCGGGCAAGCCCACACTGGTGTGCTCCAGCGCGGTGGGGAGCTGGTCATACTCGCAGCAGAGGAGGCCGAGGGTGTGCTCTGGTGAGGGCCCACCCAAGACCGACCTCATGGCCTTCAGCCCCAGTTTACCTGACTCTAGGGACAGAGAAGATCAGCTGCAGACAACTGAGGAATGCTTTGCAAAGGTTAGTGTATAACATCCTTTTGTTTAATTTTCGTATTGTTTTTCTTTATCAACTTCTTCGTAAATTTATTTCTAAGAATCAAATTTCCCTGGGTTAAAATTTTACCTCTTTTTACATATCCATTTTAACTAGTCTTTTGGAATTACAGGACGTCAAAGCAATATATATTGCCTTCCTTCATTGTATGCTGCATTATTCAATGCATATTAACAGGACTGTAATTTCTAGTAAATTTTCACTATATTAACCTTCTTTATTTTTGGTAATAAGAACATTTAGAAAACATTTTACTATTATTTAACCTATAACACATAAACAAATGTGCAGAGGCTGAAATAATAAAGCTCCATAAATTGTATGAAAGTGAAAACATCTATTGCCTCCATCGCTGAAGCCCCTCACATGCACTTGCCAAATCACTTCCCTTGTTTTTCCTCCAGTGTAACTGCACATTTGCCTTTTATATCTGTGTTTATTCTGGGCCTGTTTTGGGAACGTATTCTAATTGGAATTGCACAACGTGTATTGTCTGTGCATTTGTGTGTTATTTGTATTTATCACTCATTGTTTGTGAAATTATCCATGTTGTTACATGTAGTTGTAGTTCATTTAATTCTATTTCTAGTACTATTTCATAAATATACTATATATTATTTATTCTACTGTTCAGGAATTTGCATTGTGCCTCAATGTCTATTTCAAATAATGCCATCATAAATATATTGCACATTTCTTTGATGCCCATGTACACAGATTTCTCTTAGGTTTTTACCTAAGAGTTGTGTTTGTGGGTCACAGAATATGTGTGTATCTTTGTCTTTTGTAGCTAACACCAACCAATTTTCCAAGATGTTTTTAGCTATTTACATTTCTAGTAGTGTATAAGGCTTTCTGCTACTCCACATCATCTCTACATTTGTCAGGTTATTTTCATGTTAGCCATTTTACTGGGCAAGTTTTGTAATCTCATTTTGAAATTCTTTTATGTTTAAATGAAGTTGAGTACCTCTCTATTTTATTTTGGCAATTTTTATACCTTATTTTGTGCAATAGCTGTTCAAATCTCCTATTTCTCTAGTCTGTTGTTTTTCTTTTCTTTTTTCTCTTCTTTTTTGCTTCCATAAAACTTTCTTTCTTTTTTTTTTTTTTTTTTTTTTTTTTGAGACGGAGTCTTGCTCTGTCACCCAGGCTGGAGTGCAGTGGCCAGATCTCGGCTCACTGCAAGCTCCGCCTCCCGGGTTCACGCCATTCTCCTGCCTCAGCCTCCCGAGTAGCTGGGACTACAGGCACCCGCCACCTCGCCCGGCTAGTTTTTTGTAATATTTAGTAGAGACGGGGTTTCACTGTGTTAGCCAGGATGGTCTCGATCTCCTGACCTCGTGATCCACCCGTCTCGGCCTCCCAAAGTGCTGGGATTACAGGCTTGAGCCACCGCGCCCGGCTTTCTTTCTTTATTTTGTGTTTTTCTTATTACTTAAACAAATCTTATATTCTGAACATAACTCCTTTTTTTAAGTAGTTTTCAACCTCATGGCTTGTTTTTAATTCTATTTGTCTTTTGGTGAATAGAAAGTTGTAATTTTGGTTAAACTCAATTTATCAGTTTTTGCTTCTGATCCTATTTCATAAAGATAATTCTCTGTGGTATCTTTTATTTCATTGTTTACATTGCATCTATAATCCATTTGGAATACACATATTTTTATGATTGTGAGGTAGGGATCAATATTTATTTTTATTTCTTCTTATTATTTTTATTATACTTTAAGTTTTAGGGTACATGTGCACAATGTGCAGGTTTGTTACATAGGTATACATGTGTGCCATGTTGGTTTGCTGCACCCATCAACTCATCATTTACATTAGGTATTTCTCCTAATGCTATCCCTCCCCCAATCCCTCACACCTCAACAGGCCCTGGTGTATAATGTTCCCCACCCTGTGTCCAAGTGTTCTCATTGTTCATTTCCCACCTATGAGTGAGAACATGCGGTGTTTGGTTTTCTGTCCTTGTGATAGTTTGCTCATGATGGTTTCCAGCTTCATCCATGTCTCACCCTTTTTTATGACTGCATAATATTCCATGGTGCATATATGCCACATGTTCTTAATCCACTCTATCACTGATGGACATTTGGGTTGGTTCCAAGTCTTTGCTATTGTGAATAGTGCTGCAATAAACATACGTGTGCATGTGTCTTTAAAGCGACATGATTTATAATCCTTTGGATATATACCCAGTAATGGGATGGCTGGGTCAAATGGTATTTCTAGTTCTAGATCCTTGAGGAATCACCACGCTGTCTTCCACAATGGTTGAACTAGTTTACATTCCCACCAACAGTGTAAAAGCATTACTATTTCTCCACATCCTCTCCAGCATGTCTTGTTTCCTGACTTTTTAATGATCGCCATTCTAACTGGCATGAGATAGTATCTCATTGTGGTTTTGATTTGCATTTCTCTGATGACCAGTGATGATGAGCATTTCTTCATGTGTCTGTTGGTTGCATAAATATCTTCTTTTAAGAAGTGTCTGTTCATATCCTTTGCCCACTTTTTGATGGGGTTGTTTTTTTCTTGTAAGCGTGTTTAAGTTCTTTGTAGATTCTGGATATTAGCCCTTTGTCAGATGGGTAGATTGCAAAACTTTTCTCCCATTCTGTAGGTTGTCTGTTCACTCTGATTGTAGTTTCTTTTGAAGATTTATTTTTTACTACCATTTTTTGTTGGACTTTTAAAATGAGTTTGAAAGTGTTTCCTCTCCTTCAATTTTTTTTTTTTTTTAAGAGTTTGAGAAAAAATAACATTGATTCTTCTTTAAAAGTTTGGTAGATTATCCAGGAAAGACATCTGGTCTTAGGCTTTTTTTATTTTTATTTTTTGTTAGGAGGTTTGGATTACTGATTCAATCTCCTTACTAGTTATCATTTTGTTTAGATTTTTTATTGCTTCATGATTATGTCTTGGTAGTTTGTATATTTCTAGGAATTAATCAGTTTCTTCTAGGTTATTTAATTTGTTGGTATGTAATTTTAATAGCCTCTTATAATTGTGGCATCAGTTGTAATGCCACCTTCCTTGTTTCTGACTTCCAGTCTCTTTGTTTTTTTCTTAGTTTAGCTAAGGGCTTGTCAAATTTGTTGTTTTTTCAAAAATTCAACTAAGTTAAAAAACTTAATTTAAACTTTTTTTTCCATTTATTTTTGCTCTAATCTTTATTATAGTATTTCCTCCCTTTGCTTTGGGCTTCCTCATTTGTCCTTTTTTTTTCTAGTTGCTTGAGTTGTTAAGTTTTTTATTTGAGATCTTTCTTCTTTCTTCATTTTTAGTGTAGGCATTTACAACTCCCTTCTTTGTTTTGTTTTCATTTTTAAGAGACAAGGTCTTGCTGTGTTGCCCAGGCTGAAATACAGAGGCACGATCATAGCTCCCTGTAAGTGATCCTTGTGCCTTGGCTTCCCTAAGCACTGGAATTACAGGCGTGAGCCACTGAGCTTGCCCAGCTTAATCTTCCTTCTTAGTACTGCTTTTATTGTATCCTGTAAGTTCTGATGTATTGTGTTTTCATTTTTGTTTATCTTAACATATTTTCTAATTTCTCTTTTGATTTCCCCTTTGACCTACTAGTCATTCAAAATTCTGTTGTTTAATTTCTACGTATTTGCAGATTTTCCAGTTTTAATTCTACTATTGATTTCTAGTTTTATTCCACTGTGGTCAGAAAAGATATTCAGTAAGATTTCAACCTTCTTGAATTTGTTAAGACTTGTTTTGTGACCTGACGTGTGATTTATCCTGGAAAATGCTCTGAGTATGTTTGAGAAGACTGTGTATTTGCTTCTGTTGGGTGGATTTTTCTGCATATGTCTGTCAGTTCCATTTCAGCTATAGTGTTGTTCAAGTCTTCTGCTTCCTTACTGATTTTCTGTCTGAATGTTCTATTCCTTATTCAAAGTAGGGTACCAAAATCTCCTACTACAGTCATATCACTTATGGATGGAGATACATTCTGAGAATTGTATCATTCTAGGAATTCATCACTGTGCAAACATGAGAGTGTACTTAAATATTTACACAAATCTAGATAGTATAGCCTACTACAGACCTAGGCTACATGATGTATTGCTTCTAGGCTACAAACCTGTACATATGTTAACTGTACTGAATACTATAGGGAATTGTAATACAATGGTAAGTATTTGTATACCTAAATATATCTAAACATCTAAAAGGTACAGTAAAACCATTGTATAGGTTTTCAAAATGGTACAGGGGTACTTACCCTATGAATGGAGGTTGCAGAGCTGGAAATTCCTCTGGGTGAGTCAAAGCGTGAATGGTGAGTGAATGTGAAGGCCCAGGACATTACTGTGCACTAATGTAGACTTTAAAACACTGTACATTTAGGCTACACTCAATTTATCAAAAATTTTCTTTTTATAGGCTTGTCATGGTGGCTCATGCCTGTAATCTCAGCACTTTGGGAAGCTGAGGAAGGAGGATCGCTTAAGCCCAGGAGTTCAAGACCAACCTGGGCAATATAGTGAGACCCTGTCTCTAGAAAATAATTTTTAAAAATTAGCTAGGTGTGGTGACACACACCTGTAGTTCCAACTACTCAGGAGGCTGAGGTGGGAGGATCCTTAAGTTGAGCAGGTCAAGGCTACAGTGAGCCATGGTCATGCCACTGTACTCCAGCCTGAGCAACAGTGTGAGACTCTGTCTCAATTTTTTTTCTTTCTTCAGTAATAAATTAACCTTAGCTTACTGCAACTTTTTAACTTTATAAACTTAAAATTTTTAAACCTTTTGACTCTTTTGCAATAACACTTAGCTTAAAACACAAACACATTGTACAGCTGTACAAAAATATTTTCTCTTTATATCTTTATTTTACAAGCTTTTTTTGATTTTGAATTTTTTAATTTTTTTCACTTTTACTTAGTTTTTTTTTGTTGTTGTTGTTAAAAATGAAGATATAAACACCTATACTAGCCTAGGACTGTATTGGGTCAGAATCATCAATATCATTTTCACCTCCATATCTTGTCCACTGGAAGGTGTTCTGGGATAATTACACATGTGATGCTCTCATCTCCTATGATAACAATGTCTTCTTCTGGAATACTTCTCTAAAGACTTGCCTCAGGCTGTTTTATGGTGATTTTTTTTTTTTTAGTTAATGTATTTTTTTTAATAAGTAGAAAGAGTACATTGTAAAATACTACTAAAAAGTATAGTAAATACATAAAGCAGCAACATTTATTATCTATATCAAGTATTATGTACTGTATATAACAGTGCATAATTGTATGTGCTATCTTGCACTTTTATATGACTGGCAGTGCAATAGGTTTGTTTACACCAATGTCATCACAAACATGTGAGTAATGTGCTACAACATTATGACTGCTACATCATCACTAGGTGATAGGAATTTTTCAGCTTCATTATAATCTTATGGGACTACTCTTGTACATGTAGTCTGTTATTGGTTGAAATGTTGTTATACAACACTTGATTGTATTGTATTGCTATCTATTTCTCCATTTCTGTGAATGTTTGCCTCATATATTTAGGTGTTTTAATGTTGGGTGCATATATATTTATAATTGCTATGTCTTTCTGGTGAACTGACCTTTTATCACTACATAATGTTCTTCTTTGTCTCTTATGACACTTTTTGACTTAAAGACTATTTTGTCTCATGTAGTAGCTCTTTTCACATTTGCACTCTTTTGGTTATAATTTGCATGAATTTTTAAAAATATCCTTTTAACTTTCAGCCTATCTAGGTCTTTAAATCTAAAGTAAATCTCTTGTAGTTAGCATGTGATTGGGTCTTTAAAAAAATCAGTTCAGCCACTTTGTATCTTTTGATTGAGGGAGTTTATTCTATTTTTATTTAAAGTAATTATTGATAGGGCATGACTTACTGTTGCCACTTTGTTAATTGTTGTTTGCAGCTTGTAGACTTTTTGCTCCTCTTTCCTTCTGTTACTGTCTCCCTTTGTGTTTTATTGAGATTTGTAATGCTATGTTTTTGTTCCTTTCCTGTTTTCATTTGTATATCTTCCATAAGTATTTTCTTTGTGGTTACCATGGGGCTTACATTTTAAAACTCTTATAAAAATCTATTTTAAAATGATAGCATCTTTACTTCAATCACAAAACAAAACTCATTACTTTTACTTCTCCCCACCCAAATTTTATATTATTGATGTCATAAATACATCTTTTTATATTGTGTATACATTAACATTCTTTTATAGTTAGTTTTTCTGTACTTTTGTGTTTTAACCAGATTTAAAAATATCAGATTTTAAAGTGACTTATGTACCACCATTACAGTATTATAGTATTCTGTTTTTGTCTATATATTTATCTTTACTAGTGAGCTTTATACTTTAATAAAATACCTATGTATTTCTGTTTAGCATCCCCTAATTTTAACTAGAAAGACTCCCTCTTAACATTTCTTGTAAGGCAGGTCTAATTGTGATCACCTTCAGCTTTTGTTTAACTGGGAAGGTCTTTATCGCTTTTTCATTTTTGAAGAAAAACTTCGGTGGATTTGGTGTTCTTGGTTGGCAGTTCTTTTTCTTTTCAGCACTTTCAGTATAACATCTCACCCCTTTCTGGATAGCAAGGTTTCTACTGAGAAATCTACTGGTAGAGTTAGGGGTGTTCTCTTGTATGTAATGAGTCATTTTTCTTTTGCTGCTTTCTAAATTCTTAATATTTCTTGAATCTTGATGTCCATTTCTTTCCTCATATTTGGGAAGTTTTCAGACATAATTTAAAAAAATAAGCTGTCTGTCCTTTTATCTCACTGCTTCTTCTTTTGAAGCTGTCATAATGAGTAGAGCAGCCTGTTCGAGGATGTCCTATCAATTTCTTAGGCTTTCTTTACACTTTCATTTCTTGTTCTTTTTGCTACTCCATCTGGATAATTTCAAATGATGCGTCCTTGAGTTCACTGATTCATTCTTCTACTTGATTGAGTCTGCTGTTGAACATGTCTGTAAAATTTTCAGTTCAATTATTGTATTCTTCAGTTCCAAAATTTCTTTTTAGTTCTTTTAAATATTTTCTATCTGCTGAAATTCTGATTCTGCTTATGCATTATTTTCCTGAGCTCATTGAACATCTTTATGACAATTATTTTGAATACTTTATCAAGTAATTCATATAGCTCTATTTCTTTAAGTTTGGTTTCTGGAGTGTGTGTGTGTGTGTGTGTGCATGCACTATTTGGGCCATGTTTCCTATTTTCTCGTATTCCTTATTACCTTGTTTTGATATCTATACATTTCAAAAAACCAAAACCAAAACAACACAAAACAGAAAAACACCCCAGCTACCTCTCCCAGTCTTTATGGCCTGGATTTGTACATGGAAAGATCTTTTACTAATCAGGCTGGCTAGAGATTCTAGGGACCTCTCAAACCTTTTCTGTGGATACATCTTCTATGGACTTGTGTGTATAATTCCTAATTAGAGGGATCTGCCAGCTTTTTTTTTTTTTTTTTTTTTAAACTCTAATCTTTTTCTCTCTGTGGTGTATGTGTGCTGTACTGTGGGCCCTCTGGAGCAGCAGTATTCACTCAGCTCTTTTAGGTTCTGAGAAGCCCTCAGTTACAGATTCTGCTGAATCCTATCAGTGCCTGGAGTCAAGTGAGACAGAAACTTGGACTGCCCACTAAAATTCAGGAAATTTGGATGCATTTTACTCTTCTCTTTCCTTCATGAGGGAGAGAGTGCTGAGCTGAGTTGTGCTCTGTGTGCTGTGTCATAGGTCCTGAGGAACATCAGCCCACCACCCAGCTCTTTATTATTCTCAGCTGCCCTCAGGAATTTAGAATATGCCAGGCTCCATCAGTGCTCTGAGATATGCAAGACAGCCCCCCTGAAAAGTCAGAACATTGAATGCCCGCTTTACTTTCTCTTTCCCTTCTCAGGGAGAAGCCAGGAGCTGGAAGTTTCCCCCTGTTTGAATGGGATGGTGCTGCCGGATGGGACTATAGGAAAAGTGCCCCAGAAAAGTGCCCAGCTAGTTTTACACTTGCTTGGAGCCCAGGATCCTCTTAACTGGTTTCTGCACTTATCACCATGGGAATTGGTCCTTGTATTGTTGTTGAGTTAGTTGTTGAGTTGTTGAGTTAATTGTTGTTGAGTTGGTCCTTGTATTGTTGTTGAGTTATATCTGTGGAGGGTCTGGGGATTCCTATAACAGCATCTTGCTGATGTCACTACCTCTGTTATCTTTTTAAGTTACATACGCTTTTACAAATTATTTTATTGATTTCCTCTTTTACTTCCTCTTTTATTAACACACATCCTTGACTTATTACCTCAATTAAATCAATACTTTTACTACTTCCAGGCAATGCTAAGACCTTGAATCATTATACCATTTACTTGTACCCTAATTTTTGTTACTGATATGCCTTTCAATTATTTATGTATTCTAGACACACAGTACATTATTATCATTGTTTTGTTAGCACCTATTTGTGTTTCTTTCTGGGATCGTTTTCCTTCTGAAGACGTTAACATTTCCTTTAGTGTGGCCTGCTAGTAAAGCAACCTTTAAGTTTTTATATATCTGGAAATGTCTTAATTTTACTATCACTTTTGAGAAACAGTTTTGGGTATTGAATGAAAGTTATTTTTGCCAGCACTTTTAAGATGACATTCCATGGTCTTCTTTTGAAGGGATGGCTGTCAAGTTTATTGTTCAATTAGTGTGTCTTTTTTTCTCTCTAGCTACTTTGTATACTTATTCTGTTTTTCACTGTTAGCAGCTTTACTATCATGTGCCCAGTATTAATTTGCTTTGTTTTTAATCTTGCTTGCAGTTTTGAAAGCTTCTTATATCTGTGGGTTGATAATATTTTATCAGTTTAAGAGAAGATATAGCTGTATGCCTTCAAATACTGCTTCTACTTCATATTTTCTCTTATATTCTTCTGTGACTATAAGTATATGTATGTTAAATCTTTTCATCCTATCCCTTGTCTTTTATATGCCATTTCTATTTTTAAATCACTTTTTCTCTTTGTTTCATAATCTATATTTTATTCTTACCCATCTTTTACTTCAGGAATTTTATCTTGTTATTCTAGGCCACTGTCAAAATCAACGATTGAATTCTTAATTTCAATCATGGCATTTTTCAGTTTTAGAATTTAATTTTCCTTTTAAAAAATAGATTTCTAACTTGGGTACTGGCTAATGTTAAAAGAAACTTTCCTCCCACCAAGTTTTCCCTCACTTGATCTTGGATTTTAAAATTATATATAACCTGAGAGATTATCATTTTTCTCCATTTGATAATGAATCAGGCCAGGCATGGTGGCTCCTGCCTGTAATCTCAACACTTTTGTGGGCCATGACAGGAGGATTGCTTGAGCCCAGGAGTTCAAGATAAGCCTGAACAATATAGGGAGACTCTATCTTTACAAAAAATAAAAAAAAATTAGCTAGATGTGGTGGTGCACACCTGTGGTCCCAGCTACTTGGGAGGCTGAAGTTGGAGGCTTGAGCCTGAGGCTACAGTGAACCTTGACTGTACCACTGCACTCCAGCCTGGGTCAGAGTGAGACTGTTTGTCACCCAGTTGTATAGAAACAACTATAGGTAGAGCCATAAAAAAGATGCCTGAGATTACAGCTCCTGAACTTAGCTTCATTGTCCCTTTCCACTAAGTGAGATAATCTGACATTAATGAATGCAATATAGTTGCATAAAAATGATTAATTTAATTTTTCATTATCTCAGGGATATGCTAGAAATATTCTCATATTTTCTATCCAAAGAGGATATATAATATGGATATTTTAGCACACTCCCTTATAGGGCAGTTATACCTTCCTCTGTGAATCATTATACAGGCAGTGCTAAGATGTGTATTATATGCACATGGTATCCTTTCTTACTATCCTTATAATAGAATAAATTAATTTTTATACAGAATTTTTGAAGGATCAAATGACATATGTGCATAAATTATTTATACATGTTTATACAATTGCTTTAACATTTCCTCCTCTTTGCAATCTGGTATATCTATATAATTTCTACAGATAACAGAAGAAAAATAACAGCTTATTAAAATTTTATTCTGGGTTTTGTAAGGAATAAAGGACATTTGTACCCTTATGAAGATTAAATTTTCTTGTGTTAGTGTATTTCTAAAGGCTTTTCGTGAATTAATTGGAGACACTTTAAATACTACACAGTTTTAAATCTAAATTTTTTTCTCAAGGAAGAAGTTCTGTTTACACAATGGTGCTTAAACATGACTGAAATATCTAAAGGAGAAACCTCTCCTTTAACTGGATCAGTCAAGAAAATAATCTGTAATATTTGATTGAAAAAAATGGCTTAGAAGAAGATTTTTAAAAATGTTCTTTTCCTGGCCGGGCGCAGTGGCTCAGGCCTGTATTCCCAGCACTTTGGGAGACCGAGGCGGGCGGATCACAAGGTCAGGAGATCGAGACCATCCTGGTTAACACGGTGAAACCCCGCCTCTACTAAAACTACAAAAATTAGCCGGGTGTGGGGGCGGGCGCCTGTAGTCCCAGCTACCCCGGAGGCTGAGGCAGGAGAATGGCGTGAACCCGGAAGGCGGAGCTTGCAGTGAGCCGATATCGCGCCGCTGCACTCCTGCCTGGGCTACGGAGCCGGGTGTGGGGGCGGGCGCCTGTAGTCCCAGCTACTTTTTTTTCCATAGAAAAGAAAGTATTTTCTATGGAGTCTCCCATGAAATTGAGATTAGATAATCTATAGTTATTGAGAAAGGAATATTCAAGATAAGAGTTGATCACTGTAGCACATATGCGAGTGATAATTCGAAAAGTAAATATAATTAAATATAGTTTAACAGATATGAAAATGAATCCAAAGTCAAGAGTCTTGTTTCCTCCTGAAATATCTATATAAGTACATGGGATATTTTTTTCCAGACTGAGAAGAGCATGTGAACTGATATTGTTGATTACTTTTTCTCCATTGAGTGTATCTTTTAAAATACTCAGTATTTACCATAATACTCTGCAGATTACAATGTACACATTGTTAATACTACACTGTTAATTTGCCTTTTAAATACTTAATATTTACTTTTTTCAAAGGTTATATTTGTGTATTCTGTATAAAATCCTACTGTAATTTATTCCATAGCCTTGTAGTTTTACATTATTTACTGTTATATAGTAGAAAGTGGCTAACGTCACCTAATGCTATTTTCTAAACATTTATTATCATTTTCTTATGTTTTTAACCATTGCGTATTAAAATATTTTAAAATTATCAGTATGACAACTATTAGGCAAATAGTCTTGGAAATTGATTTGTGTTTCAATGATCCAAGTATTACTGCAAAGTCGTGATAATAGAGATAGTAAGAATCTTATAAGGGAAATGGTAAATACATCTTTAAAGATTGTATCAGAAACAGTTCTGTGACAATATCTTATTTCTTTACAAGTTTGAATTCCAGAAATCAAGTGAATTTCCACTGACTTTGCATTTTCTGGTAATTTCGTTTTTCTTATCAAGCTATATTTTAAATGTAAAAGTATCCGACAATAGAATTGCTGATCTCGTGGTCCCTCTTGTCTTCACAGGTAAGGGATATTTTGTAATATTTAAGGGATTTTAAGGAGTATATGTACAAGCAGAATGTTAGCTATTTCTTCAATAGAAAACTTGGCGACATTTTCTTTTGCCCGTATTTATTAAGTGTTTACTATATTTTCTAGGTCGTGTTCAAATGATACCATCCAGTAAACATTTGGGAGATTAAAAAGTCATTAAACTAACATAAAGGTAGCCTGGTTAATAAAATGATATTCTTTTTAACATGATTATATTTACTGAAACCTAAACATTTTGTGAAATAGTATGTCGTATAGAAAATGTTAGGATTTTGACTTGTTATGTAAGTGCAAAGCTATGTATTTTACAATTTTTAATAATTGCTTTATCAGTAATAGCAACTTGAAGAAATGCTATCTAGATGCTACTAATTTGAAAATAGTGCAAAGACGTTTACCAAAGTTGTTCTATCATGCTTTTGATTTCTAGAAAGTTGAAATATCCCTATTACAGTTTTTGGGATAATATAAAAAGTAGATAGGTGTTATAGATAAAGAAATAGGTTTTCATCGATTTGAAAATTAGACCTCCAAGAAGAAACTCAGGTGAGAATGCCAGTAAAATAGTTTTAGTTGTTTTTGAAAATAACATAAACAGAATGTCACTATTAAACACTGAAATTGGAATAAAAATTTGGTTTATGAGTAACATGGAGATAGCGTACAAACAGAAAAACTCAAAAATTTTAATTAGATATGTTTAAATAGAGATGAGAAAAGTCAAAACTTTAACTCTTAAAAGTTATTTTTATCAGTTTGGAAATACATTAACTCCTGCCTATATAAAATACACCAATACAAACTTCTCTAGTAAGGATTGGGTTTACATGACTTTAGATGCATGTTTCTGTAATATTTTAATGATGCACTTATATTGACGCATTTGAAGACACAGTTTAATGATATATTTTGACTAGAGATAAGTGATTTAAAAAATGATAAGAATCATGTCATTGAAAGTGAGAATACTTGAGAAATATTGACGAATATAAGCTAAATAAAGCAAAACAAAGTAAAACACTTACCCTTTCATCCGCATGATGTCGCTGGACACCGCAAGATTTTTCTGCCTTCCCAACCTCAAAGGAGTACAGTGAGTACATTTTCCTTAGACAGAAAGGAAAAGAACCTTCCCTTTTTGGCTCTGCCAAGAAGCTAAAAAAGGTGATAATATAAAAATATATAGGTAATTGGGAATTGAATTTACAAAATACATTGTGTGATGATGCAATAGAGAGCTGATAATCGGAAGGAGATTGAGATGGTATATTCCCGGAGAGGAAGTCCGGGATCCCGGCTCCTGCTGCTGTGGCTTCTCCTCGTCTACTGGAAGGCAGGGAGCGGCCAGCTCCACTACTCGATCCCGGAGGAAGCCAAACACGGAACCTTCGTTGGCCGCATCGCGCAGGACCTGGGGCTGGAGCTGGCAGAGCTGGTGCCGCGCCTGTTCCGGGTGGCGTCCAGGGGCCGCAGGGACCTTCTGGAGGTAAATCTGCAGAATGGCATTTTGTTTGTGAATTCTCGGATCGACCGGGAGGAACTGTGCCGGCGGAGCGCGGAGTGCAGCATCCACCTGGAGGTGATCGTGGACAGGCCGCTGCAGGTTTTCCATGTGGAGGTGGCAGTGAAGGACATTAATGACAATCCGCCCAGGTTCTCCAGACAAGAACAAAGATTATTCATTTTAGAGTCAAGAATGCCAGATTCGCGGTTTCCGGTAGAGGGCGCGTCGGATTTGGATATCGGAGCAAACGCACAATTGAGATACAGGTTAAATCCTAACGAATATTTTGACTTAGATGTTAAAACAAATGAAGAAGAAACGCACTTTTTAGAGCTAGTTTTGAGGAAATCCTTAGATAGAGAAGAAACACAAGAACATCGTTTATTAGTGATTGCAACTGATGGAGGACAACCCGAACTAACAGGTACAGTTCAGTTGTTGATCAATGTATTGGATGCTAATGATAACGCCCCAGAATTTGATAAATCCATTTATAATGTCAGATTGTTGGAAAATGCACCAAGTGGGACATTAGTTATTAAACTGAACGCCTCAGATGCAGATGAGGGCATCAATAAAGACATAGTGTATTTCTTTAGTAATCTTGTTCTTGACGATGTAAAGTCCAAATTTATAATTAATTCTAATACTGGTGAAATAAAAGTTAAGGGGGAACTGGATTATGAAGACTGTAACTCATATGAAATTAATATTGATGCCATGGATAAAAGTGCATTCCCATTAACAGGACACTGTAAAGTAGTAGTGAAACTCCTGGATATGAATGATAATACCCCAGAGATGGCCATAACCTCCCTTTTCCTGCCTGTGAAAGAGGACGCTCCAGTCAGCACGGTCATTGCTCTGATCACCGTGTCTGACCGTGACTCAGGTGCTAACGGGCAGGTGACCTGCTCCCTAATGCCCCACGTCCCCTTCAAGCTGGTGTCCACCTTCAAGAATTACTACTCGTTGGTGCTGGACAGCGCCCTGGACCGCGAGAGCGTGTCGGCCTATGAGCTGGTGGTGACCGCGCGGGACGGGGGCTCGCCTTCACTGTGGGCCACGGCCAGCGTGTCTGTGGAGGTGGCCGACGTGAACGACAACGCGCCAGCGTTCGCGCAGTCCGAGTATACCGTGTTCGTGAAGGAGAATAACCCGCCGGGCTGCCACATCTTCACGGTGTCTGCGTGGGACGCGGACGCGCAGTCCGAAAGAGATGTACTGGTTCGTGAAGGAGAACAACTCCACCGGCTGCCACATCTTCACGGTGTTCGCGGGGACGCCGGACGCAGGAGAACGCTGGTGTCCTACCGCTGGTGGATGGGCAGCGGCGGGTGGGCGAGCGCGCGCTGTCGAGCTACGTGTCGGTGCACTCGGAGAGCGGCAAAGTGTACGTGCTGCAGCCGCTGGACCACGAGGAGCTGGAGCTGCTGCAGTTCCAGGTGAGCGCGCGCGACGCGGGTGTGCCGCCTCTGGGCAGCAATGTGACGCTGCAGGTGTTCGTGCTGGACGAGAACGACAACGCGCCGGCCCTGCTGTCGCCTCGAGTGGGTGGCACCGGCGGTGCAGTGAGCGAGCTGGTGCCGTGGTCGGTGGGTGCGGGCCAAGTGGTGGCGAAGGTGCGCGCAGTGGACGCCGACTCGGGCTACAACGCGTGGCTTTCGTATGAGCTGCAGCCAGCGCCTGGCAGTGCGCGCATCCCGTTCCGCGTGGGGCTGTACACAGGCGAGATCAGCACAACACGCTCTCTGGATGAGACCGAAGCACCGCGCCACCGCCTTCTGGTGCTGGTGAAGGACCATGGAGAGCCCGCGCTGACAGCCACAGCCACAGTGCTGGTGTCGCTGGTGGAAAGTGGCCAGGCGCCGAAGGCCTCATCGCGGGCGTCGGCGGGCGCTGTGGGTCCCGAGGCTGCCCTGGTGGATGTCAACGTGTACCTGATCATCGCCATCTGTGCGGTGTCCAGCCTGTTGGTGCTCACGCTGCTGCTGTACACCGCGCTGCGGTGCTCGGCGCCGCCCACCCAGGTCGTGTGCACGCGGGGCAATCCCACTCTGGTGTGCTCCAGCGCAGTGGGGAGCTGGTCCTGCTCACAGCAGAGGAGGGAGAGGGTGTGCTCTGGAGAAGCCCCACCCAAGACGGACCTCATGGCTTTCAGTCCAAGCCTTCCTCAGGGTCCCACCTCTGCAGACAACGTGAGTTTTCTGATAGTAACATCCAACTTTCCCTCCCAATTTTTAAATATTAAGTGTCACATTCACCCAGTTTTTTTTAAAATTACGCCCTAGTACATAAATATTGTAGTACACAATTATTGCACTAATTCATGTACTATGTGCTTTTTATGATGTTTTTCTGTTAGGGTAATAGGTTCATCAACTTTGTATGATATTAAGTATTTTTAAAATTATATTTTATATTAGCATTTGAATTTCGCATCTCTAAAAATGTAGGATAATAATTGTAAGACATAGTTTGGAGTCATTCTCAAAGTCTTAGTTTATGACTCCATGAAAATTTATTTTATTTTATTATTATTTTTTAAAGACCCTTTATTGCTCAGTCTGCAGTGGCCTGCTCATAGCTCACTGAAGCCTGAAACTCGTGGACTCAAGTGATCCTCCCATCTCAGCCGCCCAAGTAGCTGGACTACATGCATACACATGCAAATTAAAGTTTTCTTTTTCTCTAGAGATAGGGGTCTTGCTACTTTGCCCAGGCTGTTCTTGAACTCCTAGTTTGAAGCCATGCTCCCATCTCAGCCTCCTGAAGTACTAAGATTACAGGATTGAGCAAGAGTGCCTGGCCTATAAAAATGTTTTAACATCACCCTTCCAATTTTACCTTTTTGTTTCTGTTGAATTTAAATTATTATTTTATTACACTAATTTAGTTTCTGTTTTCAATTATATTTTTGCAGTATATGGTTTATTTCAACTTTGCCTAAGCAGTTCACCTGTATACCCATGATGAATTTGATAACTGTAATTTAAAAATTACATTTTTCATTTTATTGATCTTTTGAATAGGAAACACATATACATAGTTTACTGTTCTAAAGGTGCAAAAGAAGACAGTGAAATTTTCCCTTTCACCTCCTTCATGAAATCAAAACATTCTTGGGTATCCTTCTAGATGTTTTTATCATATGCAAATAAACTTCCCTACCCCCTTAAAAAACATATGAGTATTGATTTTAATCTTGCTTTTTTCATTTACTAATATATCTTGATGATCATGAGTTATCATTACTGAAGTAGATTTGTTTTTCTTTTATTTGGATCTATGGTGTTCCATTGTGTAGAAATACGATCGGTTATTTTTCCCTTATCTTAACATTAACATTTAGTAGAACAATGATTTAATTTTCTGGAAACTTGCGTATTTTTCCATTTATAAATTATATATCTAATATATATTAGATATTTTGAGACGGGATTTTCCTCTTGTTGCCCAAACGAGTGCAATGATGCAATCTCAGCCTCCCAGATTCAAGCAATTCTCCTGCCTTATCTTCCCAAGTAGCTGGGATTGCAGGCATGTGCCACCACAACTGGCTAATTTTTTGTATTTACTAGAGATTGGGTTTCACCACGTTGGTCAGGGTGGTCTTGAACTCCTAATCTCAGGTGATTCACCCGCCTTGGCCTCCCAAAGTGCTGGGATTGCAGGCATGAGCCATCATGCCCAGCCTAAATTATTATATTGATGAGGAGTAATTGTGAACCCCCTCAGTTGTGCAAATTCTGCTATATTTTGGTTGGGAAATTTTACTGCTTGTTGTTACTTTTCATTTTTAGATTAAAAAAATAAATATACCATGATACAAACTGCCCTGTTGAGTTGTTTACAAAGAGTTGTTTATTAAAGCTGTATGTTTGAGACTACTCTAGACAAGTGTCCTCTCCATCTGAAATAATGAGAACCGTTTTTCTACTCTTTTGAGGGGAAAAGTGTGGGTTTATAGGTAATAACTAGTCTACACTTTACATGATAAAATGTGAATTCCCTCTTTCTGTTGCTTTGTCTGTTTCTTTTATTCTCATATGCATTTAATTTTATAAATACCCTTCTATGATGCTATTTATATATTCCTAATATCCTGAGCTACTCTGAGGAAGTCCTAGAAATTGAGAAATAGTTTTTATCACTCTGTAAATCTACAGTTAACCACGGTCAAATTTTTAAAAATCAAGTTATCTTATTCTGTGATATAAACTATTTATATATCTCTTTACATATCAAGTCTTTATATATATTTTGTGCAGTTTATCTTTTTTATAGGAACCTCTTGTTTTGGGGATTGTTTTTGGTTAGGAAATTGAACGCTTTGTTTGCCCAAAATAACTGCAATAGAAAGTCAGTGATAAGAACTACTTAATAGATCCAGGTTAATTATTTTAAGATAGAATTTCACATGGAAGAAAAGGCTTTTGTGTTACAATAATCTATGAGGCATTTTACTGTATATCAGAATTTCGGAGTAAGGTGAAGATGATCATGTAATTTGAAAAGTCTTATTGGTGGCTCTAATTTTCTTTCAAGGAGGGGTTCAATCACTTCCAATGGATAACATTAAGGTTAAATTAAGGGTGAAGTTGATATTTGGCCTTGACTTTTATGTGAGGGTAATATTTTTGCAGGTTAATGTAGATGTAATTTTAAAATTCAGCTAAAACAAACACGGTATTGGGAAAGAGGAAGAGCAAGTGGTCTGTATTGTCAGAAAAATAAGATTCATATTGGAGAGTAATTGAAAATAACCTTCAAAAAGTTGATCACCTAATATGTGATTACATATTAGGTTACTAGAAGTTTCTAAAATGTCTTGGAATTTCTAGGTTTAGTAAAATTCAATGAAAGCTGTACTCATAAAGATAAATATGATAACATGTGAAAGACAGATGGACTTAGGTGGATGTGGAAGAAGGCAAGCCAGGGAAAAGGAGTAATTTAAAAAGTAATATAAGTGACATGGAAAATACTCATGTCATTAAAAATATGAATTTGAAAATTTGAATTTGGGGATTATTAATAATTGGTCATGTTTTGATATTTAACAAGCTATTTTCTAGGAGTCAGCATGTATAGGTGAAAATGACAATTAGAAACATAGAAAGAAGGTATGAAGATACGGATTTGTAAGTACCTCAATAAAAGTCTTATTCAAAACTTGGAAGTGAGTGAGAACAATTAAAGGAAAGGATATAGGACAGGGTTGAAGTTGAGAGAAAAGAATGAGATCATTTAAGAACAGCTGTAGAATCAAAAACAGCAAAGCACAATGGGTAGAAATTCCACTAGAATTGAAGTGGTAAAGTATATGAAAAGAAAATATTTTAAACGAGAATCCTAATATAAGCTGCAGATAAATTAAATGCGATAAAGAATATGCTCTAGAATTTTATCTTCCATCATTACACAAAAGAACCTTAAGAGCGTCTGATATTTGTTGAACAAAGAAAGCATGGACTTCAACAATCCATAAAGCTTTAAAAATTCAACCAAAATTTGATGATTTTAAGTTACATTTTTCCCTAGAGCACTATATAATAGCATGTCCTATGACAGACATATGTGGGTAAGTTTCTTTTCTAAAAGTGTGTAGAATAGTTTACATTTCTGATTTAAAGAGTAGTTTCGTAAACACTTAAATTTGCTAAACTGGCTAATACTAATGTTGCAAATACTGGTAGAAAAATTGTTTAGCTGTGAATAATTAGATCCCTTACTCTGAGGGTACTAGGATACCACTGCCTGTGCAAATTACAAACGTGAGGAGGATTTACTATAAAAGTAGAGAAAAGAAGATAATATTTTAAAAATATATAGTATAGCACTGTTATGTGAATTAATTTCTTACCTTTTGGAGCCGCATGATGTCGCTGTCTACCATGAAGTTATAGCTAGCCACCATTCAAATTTCTTCTATTACTGCATCATTCCCTGACTGTTGAATGATGGCGGACGCAGAAGAATTGGATTAATAAATTCTGGAACTTACAGTATTTTATCTTTATGCGGAAGATCTTCTAATGGAAATAAAACAAGAGGTATTTGACATGGTGTTTACCCCGGAAGACAGATTGGGAAAGCAATGTCTGCTCCTCCCGTTTCTGCTCCTCGCAGCCTGGAAGGTGGGGAGCGGCCAGCTCCACTACTCCGTCCCGGAGGAGGCCAAACACGGCACCTTCGTGGGCCGCATCGCGCAGGATCTGGGGCTGGAGCTGGCGGAGCTGGTGCCGCGCCTGTTCAGGATGGCCTCCAAAAACCACGAGGACCTTCTGGAGGTAAATCTGCAGAACGGCATTTTGTTTGTGAATTCTCGGATAGACCGTGAGGAGCTGTGCGGGAGGAGCGCGGAGTGCAGCATCCACCTGGAGGTGATCGTGGACAGGCCACTGCAGGTTTTCCATGTGGACGTAGAGGTGAGGGACATTAACGACAACCCGCCCTTGTTCCCGGTAGAGGAACAAAGAGTGCTAATTTACGAATCTAGGCTGCCAGATTCTGTGTTTCCACTGGAGGGCGCGTCAGATGCAGATGTGGGCTCAAATTCCGTCTTAACCTATAAACTCAGTTCTAGCGAATACTTTGGGCTAGATGTGAAAATAAACAGTGATGACAATAAACAAATTGGGCTCATATTAAGGAAATCCTTGGACAGAGAGGATGCTCCTGCACACAACTTATTCCTGACAGCCACAGATGGCGGCAAACCTGAGCTCACAGGCACTGTTCACCTGCTGGTCACAGTGCTGGATGTGAATGATAATGCTCCCACTTTCGAACAGTCTGAATACGAAGTAAGAATATTCGAAAACGCAGACAACGGAACAACAGTTATCAGACTGAATGCTTCTGATCGGGATGAAGGAGCGAATGGGGCAATTTCATACTCTTTTAATAGCCTTGTTGCAGCCATGGTTATTGACCACTTTAGCATAGATCGAAATACAGGAGAAATAGTGATTCGGAGTAATTTGGATTTTGAACAAGTAAATTTATACAAAATCCGCGTTGACGCAACGGACAAAGGTCATCCTCCCATGGCGGGTCATTGCACCGTTTTAGTGAGAATTTTGGATAAAAATGATAACGTCCCTGAGATAACATTGACTTCCTTATCCTTGCCTGTACGTGAAGACGCTCAATTCGGTACTGTCATCGCCCTAATTAGCGTGAA